CCATTAATATTAAAAAAAAAAAATATATATATATATATATATATATCAATAATTAATAAGGGTGTGGCAACTTAGTGAAGTGGTCAAGTTGTCACACCTTCAAGTAGTTGAGTATTGGTTCAATTCTTATGGAAAGCGAAAATTGGATTTTAAGAAAAACAGAATTCGGTAACTAATGCCGTGGCCAGGAAAACTCAAGACCCTGTAACTGTGGTCATACCAATTATGGTTTGCCAGAAACTGGAAGATCCCGGGGCATTTGTGTAATATAAGGAGTTACACAAAGGTATGCAAGTCAGTTTAGTCAGTACAAACCCAAGATAAGTCCTTCGGAATCGCAGAAAGCCACAGGGCCGATACAGAGGTGAGGCACTCACTTGGGAAGTCCTGAATAAAGAAGTAGCACAGATCTTCGATGGTACTATATACAGATTGATACTTAAAGAACCGGTAAAAACTGAATGGGACTGAAGTGCTTGGCAAGGCACTCCACTAACCAGGCTACCAAAGGGTAGCTGAAGAAAAAGAACCCAACCGTGAGGACCAGAGCAGGCTACAGCCCTTCTGGACCATCTGGATTGGTAGTTTGAAATAGCTGAGGATACTAGTAAATAGTCTGTAAGTGTATACCGGGGTTTGGGTAACTCTATAAGAACAGAAGTAGATTGTGTAGTAGTGATCAGGAAACTGGGCTACAAGTGGTGGGCCTCGGTCTGTGTATATCAATTGAAGCCTAGGTCAGCCGGATTGTGGATACAGAAGGCTTTAGCAGGTTTACTCTGAGAATAAAATTGTTCTAAGGTAGTTACTTAAAATAATATTGTAGTGAGATTATGTATATAGAAATATATGTATGACAGATATAGATCATCTAGTTATAAAAATAGTCCATACAATAATAAAAGTACTTGCCCGAAGGGGTCACCTTAACACCAAAAAAAAAATATATATATATATTAATAATTTGTTAATAACTAATAGCACAGGTTTTTTTCATATTTTTACTAGCTGCTCTTGTATCAAAAATGCATCAGGAATATATCGAGCGTAATCCAGATTTACATGAGAAGAGTATCTTCCTGTATTGCGAATATGAAGTAAAATTTCCAATTATATGATATAATTGGAAATTTTACTTCATGTTCACAATACAGAAAGATGCTCTTCTCATATAAATCCGAGTTACGCTCGACATACTCCTAACGTACTTTCGACGCAAAGGCAGCCAATAAAAATACAAAAAAAACCTGTACTATGTCTAATAGAATTTACCTGATTATTATTATTTCTACTATTTGGTAAATTGTAATCTGGTGCATCTAAATTGATAATCTTAACGATATTGTTAACTAAAGTAATCATTGCAGTATATAATTTATGTTCAAAAACAATTGTAGAAATATTTCTGTTGTTTTTCCAAAAAAAGTTGATCGTATTGTTTTTAATTTCTTCAAACATGGCAGAAAAAGTTTTTTTTTTTCTCTAAAGACATTATATATATTTTGTATGAATATAATTATGCAACTACTTTTTATAAAATTTAAGTATTATAATCGTAATATTAATATTATATAAATTTAAACTTATATTATTGCCAACATAATTATATCAATATAATTATATAATTGTATTTTACTAAATTAACTAATAAGCTTAAGTCATTATAATCATAGTATTAATATTATATAAATTTAAACTTATGTCATTGCTATCACATTTATATTATATAATTTTATAATTGTATTTTATTAAATTAATTTATAAGCTTAGAGGTGTGGGGATATAGTGCAGTTGGCAAGTTGTCACCCCCCAAATGGCAGGTCTAGGGTTCAAATCCCACTGGTGACGATTTTGAAAATTAAGATTTGTTTTAGTAACAATTATTCGACGATCGGTTAGGTATATCACCTGTAGTCTTGGTACTACCATCTTGAATAGAAGCTTTCGGTTAAGTATAAAAGCCAAGGAACCAAAATAATTGAAACCCATTTGGCAAGTCCCGAGCAAGGAGATAGTGGAGATCTTTGACGATACTGCAGAAACCGGAATC